ACAGACACATGCACAAGACAGACACATGCACTAGACAGACACATGCACTAGACAGACACATGCACATAAAAGTGATGTCTATTTGTTTTTTACAATAACGAAAACGATAAAAACTTCTCATCCTTAGCAAACAAAACAACCAACGGAAAAAGCGCGCGCTCGTTGAAGTCAGCTTTAACTGTCTGTCCTCTTATTGATGATAAAAAATAATCAAACAGGGCGCGAGAAATTTGTAAGTTATTATAAAATGCATTTTTCTTTGACAACCACTGATGCGTTCTGCTCAAAAACAACTAGCCTTTTTATGCAAAATGCATACATTAAAAGTGCGCTCTCTAGGGTCAAGACATTTGGAAACGGAGGCCCATATCGCTTTAGTGTATAGAAGAGAAAAAGGAGGCTTTTAAAAACGCTCACGTCGATCACACCGGTATATCTGTTTTTCGCATGCGCAGATGACGATATGACGATTGACGTGGCCTTATAGATGATATTCTTGTATGCCATCCACAGAATATTATGTCAAAGTTTGTCACATTTACACCGACCGCAAAGTGAAGACAAAACGTTCGTCTACAGTGGAAGGAACACGTAACATGGTGTTTGATTGTAGCTTCTCATTCCCTATTAGTGTGGGTGATCTTAGCGAGTCCTGTTTAGTGGTTAGTCTTGTTAATTATGATATGTTCAGAGGATCTCGTACTACTGGACGTGTCATACTGGGACCTTACGTCATGGAAGGAGAACACGAGAGAAGCCACTGGGGAAAGATGGTTGCTGTTCCTAACGAACTCGTATCTCAGTGGCATGGGCTATATTTGTGACTGCAATATAGACCTTTTTCGAATTAGTACATTCTGTTTACTGCTATCGTTTATTTCAGACTCAATTTCGACGATACAAACACTTGGAAACTCCATGGACCTAAAGTGGAACAAGTGAATATTCTACAATAAACTTACGGGACTGAACATTAACAGAGACAGTCATTAGTTAATTAGACCTTAAAAGTTTATCTGTTAAGAAAACTGGTGTTTGGGATTATCTTTATTGATTTTTTTAACCAGGACCATACTTCCAGACATCGAGTGCTGAACCGTCGTATGGCTTACGGCTACGCCGGAGATTTCGAACCCGTCACCGCTATCCCGGGAGGAATTACAGACTGATCAGGAAGCTTGGCAAAAGCCCAAGGGAGAGGTTAGTCGGCCCCTAGACCGTAGATGATTAACCCCTTGCTATGACCAGCAGACCTGATATTTCGATCGTTTCACTGAGGACTAAGCTTCCATGATCTCTCTTTTTCGTGTGGGATGCGTTTTGAAAAACTAGCAGCCGACGTTTGTCACTAAAACGCTTTCGAATAATTCAAAACGTGCATAAACGCACGCATGCGCAATTATTCTACTTTCAATTCATTCCTAGTATGAATCTTACGTACCAAAACATCAAATAAATACCGTGAATTCACGGAAATAAGTCTTCCCTCCAAATTGATCAAAAAATTCTTTTCGCTGTCGAGGTGGCCTACTACTTTTCAACATTCGATTTGAACCCACGATGTGTGCGCTCGCTCAAAAACCGCAGAATAATCTTCACGACTTTTTTGAAGAACCATAAATGTTTCGAACTTCAAGAGGGCAAAACCCTCATATTTTGCTCGGGACTCTGTATTTTTTTTCTTCAGAATAACAGATAATATCCCATTATTTTTCAAAGTTTAAGACAATTCTGTTTATTAGAACAATGTAAAAAATCGTTCTGTTTGTTTTGTGCTAAATTCTTTACGATAACTTGCATACTGTCACGCAGGGAAGTGGGGGAGTAATACGTTCCCTTGCGACGATGTTATTTCTCTCTTTTCTGGACTAAGAGAAGACGACGAGACTGCTTTTCTGCTTCTGCTTTCTTTTCTTTTATTATTTATCTGCTTGGTGTTCCAACTCAACTGAACTAAAGTGTGTGCTACATGTACTTATAAAAGTTCTCATTAGCATAATCTTTGACATCATGTCCAACGTGACCTGACGTCACTTACAAGCATTCTGATTGGTTAATTATAATTGTCATTACCAATAAACTAGTTCCCAATTCCCGAGGAGGAATTTGAACTATTGCAAAATTCTATTATTTAAACTTAACTGTCATCAACGATAGTTATACCGTCGAAGGATCGTTAATTAGGCTTCCCATCGCCGGTACAAATTATAGCTGACAAACGAAATTGTAAAAGATTGCTGAGCTTAAAGTTAGGTTTTGGATCGTACCCCTGGCAGCGCCCAAMGTAAATATTTAAGTAACTTATCAGCTAAAAAACCTCTAGGCATCAATCAAACAGAGAGGACAATTATTGGTGAGAAAAACAAGATTACATGCTTAATCGGTTTTCCTCAGTTTCCTGCGTTGGTGTCAGCCCGAGGGACTACACCAGACAAGTTGGCGACGCAGTGGCGATTTTGCTGATATCGCTGTTTCTCAAAGAGCTAATCGTATCCAATTTCTGCTCTTTTCCGAAACAGTGGTGCCGCTGCAAGACTATCCGGCACCTCAGCTTTTTCTGCAGTGATTATGCATCTTTTCCTTTCATCTGATTATTTTTGTTTTTTCCATTTTCTATTTTCTAATGTATCTCGTATCTTGGAACTAATATTTCTCCTTACTATACCGTACAACCTGAACAAAAACGTTTTTCCATTGTCTACAATATATTGAGGCAACTTTTATCAGTATTTTATAAATATAGTGTAAGTTAATTACGTGTTCGGAGAATATTACTCATGTTTCTTCATCCTTAGTTTCGGTTTTATGATTTTTTTGTACAGAGCTTGATTTTCGCTATTTTTCTTCCAAAATTCTACAAATGCAAGTCATTCCGGAGTGATTATTTCAAAAACAAACTCGGGACACCCCATTTTTCTTTGCATTTTTGAAATCAGCATTAAATTTCAGGTTTGAAAAGTTACAATTTTCAATTTAATGTTTATTATTTACCAAAGTAGTCAGCCACCTTAAATATTTTTGTGTTGCCAAGCGGCAGGCGAATTTCGTGAATGTCCAATGATCGTAAATGACTTTTTTCTTGATAACAATTTGTATAAAATACCAAAAAATGCACAAAATAAAATGATCTTGTCATTGTTTATTATAACTATTAATATCAATATATAAATAACTGTAATAAAGCTCGCTTTCTGATTGGTTTGAGGCTCGTGCTTTACGAGAGCCCACAGCATGCACGCGCATTCTAAAGATCTTTAAAAGAAATTAAAAACTTTCTCTCTGTGATGTGTACAGATATAACAGCAATTATAAGTGCTTAACCAAGCGTAGTGCTTGTCTTAAAAAATCTCGAGTGTTCTGTCAATCTCTAAGTGCATGTACACACCTATATAACTGAACACAAGACGCGCACTCCATTGTCTATTCTCGAGTGTTCTGTCAATCCCTAAGTGCATGTACACACCTATATAACTGAACACAGGACGCGCACTCCATTGTCTATTCTCGGGTGTTCTGTCAATCCCTAAGTGCATGTACACATCTTTATAACTGAACACAGGACGCGCACTCCATTGTCTATCCTCTAGTGTTCTGTCAATCCCTAAGTGCATGTACACATCTTTATAACTGAACACAGGACGCGCACTCCATTGTCTATTCTCGAGTGTTCTGTGAATCCTTAAGTGCATGTACACACCTTTATAACTGAACACAGGACGCGCACTCCATTGTCTGTTCCTTGAAGGTTAGCAGGGGGTCCCTTTTTTCTATTCGTCAATGTAATTAAATTTGGAATTCAACGATATTCTTGTAAATAGCTTGAAATTACAATTTTAATGTACCCAAAAAAATTAATTGAATTATCAACAATCTTCCCCCCCAATGTTTCAGAAAGAAAGAAGGATGAAAATATAGAGCACGTAATGAGTTTAGTACCCCGAGTGCTTAATAGCATAATCTTAGCTGTTTGTGGAATTTCTTTGATTCGCCATAGCAAACCAAAGATTCGCTAACGAGTTTATCATGGCTATAAGGTCGCAGAAGTTAAGATAAACTGTAAGAGTTTCGATAGTAGTGATGAACTGTGGCGCATTGATAAAGATCAAAGGAACACAGCATAGTACGAAACAGAACGATATTACAGCCATTGTACGAAGGGAATGTTTATTTGAAATGTTAAACTGATCATTCATTGTAGGTACTGGTTCGTGCGTTGAACTCGAAGGTACTAGGAGAGACAACCGTTTATAAGGTTGTAATAGAAACAGCATAGCTTACGAGTGTAACGCCAAGAAAAACAGACATGACGAGTATCGTTAATACAGGAGCATGGGTTTGAAAGACAAAATCATCAATGCAGCTTATAAATAGCAAACATGTTAAGACCCAGCAACTCATGATGATAATAAGAACTCGTTTTTTGGTCACAACGGTTTTATACCATGTCTTGCACTTCATTGCAATACAAAGGTCTATACCTATGATTATAGATATCACTCCAAGACAGTAACCAAGACGAATGTTGGTTAGTAACGATAGATAGAAAACACTAGACCAATGTTGTATAACAGCGATTAAATATAGAACATAAACTGGTTGAACAACTGCTAGTAATATCCTCGATGGAGTGTGAAGAGAAGATGCTCGTTTAACGGCCAAAAGTACGAAGCCATTTAACAAACTGCCCACTACTGCACTAACAGCATTCAGAAATAGCAGAAGAAACGACACTTCCATCCCATAGTCTTCAATTTTTCTTTTCTCTCCTTTGTAGAAATCCCAAACCCTTTACACGCGCCACCAAATGTGAAAGTCTAAACAGTTAAGATTGAAATGATTTTTAAAAACCTTTTTGTGATATGTAAATTAAAATCCTTGCCGATAGTCACTAGTCAGTGATTGAAATACTCAGCTAAGAAGTAAGCATGGCAATGAAACGGAGATATCTTCTCGTCATATCATTCATATTTAAACAGTTCTTCACAGGATTTGACGAAGTTCTGACTGTGAATTGTTAACCAATTGACTTGATAATTTTCCCACATGCAGGAAGCAAAAGACAATGTTATCGTCAAGTAAACTGTTTGCATGTTTGACCACACCTAATTTTTATTTATTTAGCCGATTTATTTATTTAGCTTTGCCATTTAAACACCCACGCACGCACGCACACACACACGCGCGCACACACACACACACAAACACACACACACACAAACACACACACACACACACGTTATACATAATAACATGAATATAATGGCTGGGAATCCACTACAGCATGTGCCAATTACCGTGGTCTCTCATATATATATTATAAAGCACTGAAAAGTCATCGATGTTCGGTTAGTTTGTACTTGAAGTTCTCCGTGGATTGGTTGAATGAGCAAAACGAATGTTGAGTTTTATAAGTGGTTGATTATTGAGACAGGTTATGTGACGTCATAAAACATCTGGTATGTTACTATGGCTACCTGGTGTGTGTCAGTATTAACCATGACCACTTCCGTATTCATCATCAAAGTTTTGCAGCACTTTACCGATGTATTCTTGTAGTTGGGCGTGACATACACCTTCTTTGATGGTATATAGGCATTTCTAAAACAATAATGACGTAAACTATTCAGAAAACACAAATTTTCAATCGCATGTGTCAATAGTGGAATGTCATGGAAAAGCCTTGATTACCCTGGATTACAGAGGGGCTTTATTTGAGTCACGTGCGAATCTAAAGATCAAGGAAGCCATGTAAATAACAACAAGAAACCTCTGGCACCCAGGATACGCCTCTATTGACGTCCACTAAGACCTCTTGAGGAGCGTGTGTAAAGGTGCTGGCACACGGTGCAACATTGCACGCAACACTGCAAGCAACAAGTTTGAATCGGGGTGACACACATTGCAGCAAAATCACACATCATCGCTTGTGTCAGCCTGCTATGTTAAGATATTTGGTCAGCAGTTATAAATTTGGTGCAAACTGATTAGCTGGAAATTTCAAAATTTTTCAGGTAATGTTGCAGCCTTGTTCACATGATGAAATTTGTTGCGCGCAATGTTGTAAGAGGAGAGAGCAATTCAACTTCAGATTTGTTGCATGCAAAGTTGCGTGCAACAAGTTTGGGGTAGACACACGCTGTGACATTCCTGTTGCGTGCAATGTTGCACCGTGTGTCAGCACCTTAAATCTCGTAAAGACAAGGTTTCTCGATACTCAAGGGTAATATGGCGGTAATTCACTCGCCTCTCATCTCTATCGCCTCGGGTTTTATTCATGTATTGCATCACATACAGAGCTTGTTAGTCCTCTACATTGACTCCAGGGTATTTCTTGGGGTTCCGGTTTTCCTCCCTTCGCAAAACCTTACACAAGCGGAGTTCCAGTTCGATCTATAATTTAGCAGCAGGAGGTTTGGATAAGGTTTTGAGTTACTCACCTTGACATGATTAGGAAGGCAGTATCTCAATACTATTATACACTCCATACAAGTATTGAGGAGTTGGTCTGATAAAACAGAAAAGTCTGTAATTAGCTTTCTATCTTCTCACATGCGCCTTTGTATTAGCAATCTCAACAGAAGGAAACTAGAAGGATGATCCAAAGTTTACTCACCTTTACACTGTGAAGAAGAATCAAAACAATCTACCACGAGTTTAAGAAGAGCTTCAAGAATGACGTCTGCATGACCAGCAATTCTGAAACATTGAGTATCAGTCAATCAACTTTATTTAGAGAGATGCTGTTTCAAGCTTGACAATGTCAGACCACGTGTCATTGTCTATAGAATAACATTCTTTTGTTTCACTTGTTTCTATATACATGTGTCTTCTCATGCAGAACCGTTAGACAAAGAAATGATACTCTATAGAATGTCATGTGGTCTTAATTGGAAAAAAAATCGCGCCCAAGGTAAAGAGTCTATTAAAATCCATCATTCCTCAATACTTACCTTGGCCACACGTGTAACATTGCAGTCTTTAAGGCCTGTAGCACATTGATTCGAATGTCTTCTTTAGAATCATCATGTACCGCAAGATATGACAATACTACAGACAGAAACCTCTGCAAGGTCAAATACAAAGAGGTTTGTTAACTTAATTTTCAATGACTTTTGGGGCAACGTCAAAACAGTGGTCCAAAATAGGGACCCAGTTTTATTGATTTAAGAGATGGATAATGGTAAACTGCCCCTGCAGGGAAAAAACTCTTATATTTTCCTTCCTCTGAGAGTTGTCAATGGAAATCCTCTGAGGATCGGCAAGTGTTTCACTCTTTTTGATACAGCTTCCACACGCACAAAACTAAAGATCAAGCAAGCTGTGCACACCCTTTGGGAGCAGCACACACTTAATTCCCAAGTTAAGCATCTAAACTTAATAATAATGATCTGACTAATAATTCATTACTTTGTTCTTTCTCATTTATATATAGTTCGTTCTTCTTTCAATATGTAAAATACAACTTAAGTTGGTTGCAGGTCATCCAAAACATTTCCATATTAAAAAAAAAATCAAGAGTGTAGTGTTTCTCTTAAAACAATATATCTGTAATCTTGCTGCTTCGCAGTGAAGCAAAACATACAATTAACATTATAAACAAGCTAGTATTAACGATACTCTACCTTTAAATATCGAAGTAAATTGATTTGCATATGTGCAACAACTTTTTCTAAGTGTACTGCATGTACCTGTGAAAATATTATTTAATAGTTATTTAATGGTTTTGAGTGGTATACCATCCCATGTATACCATCCCATGAGGGATATGAAATATTCGCAACCCTGGTTCATCAGAGAAAGCACTGTACATGAAAATACACCTAGACGACAATGTCTGATATGAAGGAAGTGTGCATATGAAGGAAGAGTGCAATAAATACTTAAATACACTTGTGCGGGAACTGTCAAATAAAGACAATGTATGTTTCATTATTTATTAATAAAAAGAAAAAATTGGGGAAAAGGGGGGGGGGGGCGTAAGTGCAAAAACTCTGCCTTTATATAATTCAAAATTGACACAGCCTCCAAGTATCCATGAACTATGAATGGTTAGTTACATTTGATGATACATATCTATACTAGGTGTACTTACTCTTCTCAGCTGCAGATTTGACTCATATTCCATCGATGTAAGAATAACCTCCATAAAACTGTCAAATTCCTTATTCTAAGAATAAAATCAACCAGTTGGTATCTTTGACACTTTTGACTGGTTGCTTCAAAAAACAGATTCCAAAGGCAACATCCAGCCACCCGATTCACATTACTCGTAGTATTGTTATTGTAGTATCATGATTTAAGTCATTACTGAAAACTGTACTCTTTCAATCAGCCTACTTAATTTAAAACTTTTGAACCTGTTTGCTGGACTGAACTATTTATTATTTTTCGTTTTTATCTCCACAGCGCATTGGGGTAGCAGAATGCGCTATACAAGTACTGTTATTATTATTATTATTGTTAATTGCATGCAGTAATCAAAGAGAGCAGTGAAAAATAGTAACTATTTATTATTAAGTAATTTGTAACTCACCCGTTTATCTGTTCTCCCAGATTTGGAATTCATAACTTGAAGAACAAGTAACATGCAGGGATACAGCTGGTTAAGCAGTACTGGTTCATTTAGATACAGTAGACGGTGTAATACCTGAAATAATGAAGTAATGCAAATGTATTTCTTGTTGGGATGTGGGGAAGGGATGTGGGGAAAAGATGTGGGGAAGGGATGTGGGGAAGGGATGTGTAGAAGGGATGTGGGGAACGGATGTGGGGAAGGGATGTGGGGAAGGGATGTGGGGAAAAGATGTGGGGAAGGGATGTGGGGAAGGGATGTGTAGAAGGGATGTGGGGAAGGGATGTGGGGAAGGGATGTGGGGAAGGGATGTGGNAGAAGGGATGTGGGGAAGGGATGTGGGGAAGGGATGTGGGGAAGGGATGTGGAGAAGGGATGTGGAGAAGGGATGTGGGGAAGGGATGTGGGGAAGGGATGTGGGGAAGGGATGTGGAGAAGGGATGTGGAGAAGGGATGTGGGGAAGGGATGTGGGGAA